ACCATTTTGTATATAAAGTCTTTGACTTAGAGTTTGGTTTCCTATTTTTATTTCTGGTTGTCTTAGACACTTGGTTATTCTACAATGTAAAAATGTTTGTTTTTGAGCAAGAAGTAACTTGTGAACTCATGTGCATGGTTCATTTGATTTGTCACCTTGTTTCAAAGTGATTTTCAATATATATTTTTTGTGTCAAATCTTAACGGTTAAATCGATAACCGAACCGATAACAATTATATAAAAAACCGCTAAACCAATAACCGATAAGTCAATATCTTAATGGTTTGATAACGGTTTAGCATCTCTACAAACCGATAACCAATAAGCCAAACCGATAAACTTCAAAATCGAATCGAATCGAATCGAACCGACCGATACGCAACCCTAATCTCAATAGACCTAGGGTGGGGGGAAAGCTTCACTACAGGGCCTGGAGAAGAAATATGTGTGGGAAAGAGTCTACAACAAAATAAATTGAATAGATAGAGAAGTCTGGTACATCTGCTGATGTAACTCATAGTTGAATTGTACCTTCCTTAGTGTCAAATGTGATGTTATACCAGGTCGTTTAAATTAGACCTTTGTTTCGGTACAACAAGGAGGAGGAAGAGGTAGAACAAATGATTGTAAAAGAGAATCTTCAGTATGCGATAGTTTGGAAATCCCCCTATGGATGGATGTACGTAAATGTACCGTCGGTCAAAAACATTTCCAGCTAATGGTCATATGTATAATATATATATATATATATATATATATATATATATATATATATATATATAAAACCTGCAGAAAAATGCAAATGTTAGAATTGTGGTGAAGAAGGCAATAAAAGTTACGAATGTAACAAGAAAAGAGGAAAAATCTCAAAAATCGACAGAGTAGAAATTGATTCATATATATATATATATATATATATATATATTAGTGTATAACTGTGTATATATAATATATAACGATGTATAAACATATCTATATACACTTTTATACAATATTTTTATATTACAATAGTTCATCTTCCTCAACAAGTTGAATTTTTTCCCTTCAATTTTGACTTAGATCAAATCTCCTCTAGACAATCCTAAATTTTAGATATGAATTCCTTTTAATATTTTTCGTCTTTCGATATTTTATTCACCCGAAACGATTTACGTTTGCAGTATGAAATTTTAAACTTCGAGCATCAAACCTATTCATTGTCGGACATTAGCTCAAATCTTCTACTAAATGACTCAAATTTAAGATATGAGCTACTCGCAATATTTTTATTCTTTTGATATATTATTTATTTAAAATGATTTACGTTTGTCTTCGAGGGAGGATTTGGACTTCCGTTTAACTTGTTCATTTTATTACTTAAAAAAATGGTTGGTATTTCATTTTATTCTTTCGGTGTTTGATGGGAGAATAACATGTCGAATCGAAAAGAAATAATGATTTATGCATAGCAAATTCTTTTGCAAATAGAGGAAGATGATAGAGAAAAAACTGAAAAGGAGAAAGAGAAATCAAGGAGGGAAATAAGTTACATGACTATATTCTAGTAATAAAGCAATAGTAAAATTAACAAAAATGATCAAATGGTCATTTTGCTTAATTATCTCAAAATAATTTTCTTATTATATACCATGGAAAAATAAAAACGTAAAGAAGGGTTTGCGTACAATCGTGTATAATTTAACTATTTGGATCATAATGACAAAGACAATTAATCATTTTACTTGATTAATTTTTCTAAGAATTAACGAAAAGGAAGTGGTTTTTCTAACTTGATTAGTTTAAAATATAATCAAGTAAATAATAATATTTTATAAGCATTTTTTTTAAATAAGACAATTACATGAGTTCATTTCGAGTTACTTATGGACAATTTTCTTTGATCGACTCTCAATATGATGTGTACTATAGGGGGGAACAAAACCATTGCATGTGGATGCTTGGACACACAAAAAAAATCCAAATTGTATGAGAGGTACATTAAAAACATACCTTAATTATTTAAATAAATAAAAGAATAACAATTTAAACATTAAAATTGTGTGTTCACATAGAAGTGTTTTTATTTTTGGTATAGAAATGGGTATGAAGTGGGTATAGACTTGACCGTATACCAGACTCTTGGAGACTTTTAAAAAGTCTTCTTCTTGTTAATTACATTGTTTGACAAACTGCTTTGGAGTTCACATTGTAATTCTACAATAACGTGAGCAACGAAGAAACAAATTAAAGAAATCTTGGTGTGTTCGGTACGAAGAAAAATATATTTTTTTAAACTTAAGTAGTTTTATTTTTATAATTATGTTCGATAGGTAATTTTTAAAAAATATTTATTTATAATTTAGACAAATATATGTTTGAGTGTGGAAAGGATATCGTCAATGTAGAATGTCAGTAGTGTAACTTTTTTAATTCTCTACTTTAATTAAGAAAGTCATTTTTCTTATTTGTAAAGCTTATTTTCCTAAATAAAATATTTAACCTACCTAACATAGGAAAATTGAAACATATATTATGTCTGCATCGAACACACCCTTAGTTTCCTTGCGGCATAATTATCTTCTTGGTACGTACAATATTATAGATAGGGTCTCTGACTTTGTTGCTCGTGGTTTCTTGTACGTTTTCTTCTTCTTTAATCCAATTATTGGACTCGTTCTACATGAATCATGCCTCATAGTACTTTCATTGATTTTTCCATTTTATTTTAGTACATTAATTTACTATGATCCACGTTTAATTAGGATATTTCATACATATACACGCCGCTATGTATTTTATTTTTTTTGGTTATGTTTAGAAAAATTGTATGGAAGTATATTTATGGAGCATAAACAATTAATTAAGTAGAGCAATCTAGCTAACTAGGGAGGCCAAAAATTGACTCCCCCTACAAACACCTTCTCAATTGGACTTGTTGTATCAGGCTTACCTGTTGAATTACATTTTTTTATGTGATTTGCAAGCTATTGTATATGAGTGGATTTACTTGGTGTGCAATCAAAGGATAATTCATCGAGGTTCCATTAAAAATAAAATAAAAAGTCTAGCTCAGCCAGTTTTTTCTTGATTATCATGCATCCAGAATTCTATTAATTAAGGGCAAGTAAAACCTTCCGTCATGTATGTATAAACTAATAAATTCAGTAATTTAGTAGCTATTGACACTTATCCTACTCATATATATAGAAGTATAGGTAAACGTGTATATGTTGAGTTCTACGTACGTAGCTATATATATATATATATATATATTCGGGCAACCTATATATATATATATATATATATTCGGGCAACCCTCAATATGTGAGATAGTTTTAGGGATTGAGTTAGATCAAAATTAAAGTCCATTTCCTTATTAGGGCCCAAGAGGCACCAGACTTATTCGGTTATCGTCCCAATTCTTGATTTATCCGATATTGGACTCACATATCAGATTCTATATACAATGGACACCAACAACATGTTCAGTGTGATCTCACGGATAAAATTTTGGGAAGGTGATATATATATATCCAGATATATATCATCCATTTTGTATGAGATGGAGAGACTATTTCCGAATTCTATATACTATAGGACATGCATGTATATTGTAGTTGATAATTATATTGGGCAGCTTTTGGAAATCCAATTATTTTGTAAAAAATGTGTGGAACAGGAAATTCCATTCATCTGTCAACATAATTTGTTAGTTTTCTCCTACTACCTTTTTTTTTTTTTTTTGCTTTAAGAACCACATAGAGAAAGGGGGACCATTGTCAATATTGCAATATGCAATTGGGATTTTGAAGAATAATTCACTCAAACAAATAACAAGAAAACATCACAATGTATTAATTTAATGTGTATAGATATTACTTTAACTCGGTGTTTGTTTTCGACCTATATGGCTTCTTCGCTATTATATTGTATTTGGTTTACATATTTGTTTTTATTTATATGAATTACTTAAGCTGAAGATTTATCAGAAACAGTCTCTCTATCTTCAAAAGGTAGGAAACTAGGGATAATGTTGCATACAAATCACCTTCTCATACCTCACTTATGAAATTACACTGATTGAGTATGTTATTATATTTTAATTAGGTGTTTGGGAAACGGCAATTATCTGCTCATAGCATCACTATCAAATGCTTTTTTTGGGAGAGGTTAGGAGATATTTAATTAAAGCCACCCTTAGAACTACTATATACTATATGCATCATTGATCGATTAAATAGCTCTATAATTGACCAATTATTGGTGTCTTATATTATGCTCATGACAACACTTCTGAGTTGAAAGGGATTAACAACGTAATTATGTGTAGTTGCTTTTAAAACAATTATTTTAAAAAAAATAAAAACTATGTGTAGTTGCATGTTTTGGCATGAAGTCAGATATTATTGTTTATTTTTTAAAAAAAATAAAAAAATTTACATATTCAAACTAAACCAAAGTTATAAGTTATACTAATAGTTAACAATTTAAAGTATTTTAAATATCACGGTCTATTAAGATATATGGTTTAGTTTTATACTTTGTTTTATGTATAAGCTGGAAAGTAATTACAATAGCTGAGCTGTCAAAGTTAGTTAGTAGGATATGCTGAGCTGTCAGAGTTAGTTAGAAGTGTTGTCAGAGTTAGTTAGAAGTGTATCAACTGAACATTCTAGAAGTTGATTTCAAGCATCTAATTAGTTAGTGTTAGATATTTTTTCTCATCATGTATATAATGTTGAACAGTTAGCATGAATGAATTAATTTTCATTTCCCCAAATTACAGATTATATATTCCTCTCTGTTCTTATCCTTTAGTTTCAGTTTTGGCTCAAGTATTTATCAATGGGGAACTGTGATTCTCCTCAGTTCAACATGGTATCAGAGCCGTGAAGGTTCGATTACTTCTGTTTCCGCACTCAATAGTCTTCAGTTCTCAATTTTCATCTCAACTCTTCAGCTTCAATCTCCATTTTTTGTTTTTCTTCATTTCATCTCATTGTTTTTCAATTCATCACATAATGGATGAAAATCAAGCTCCAGAAGCCAACAATCCAGCACCAGTCCAGGCTGTTGTCGATTTGAACAGTGTTTTCTATATGCATCCATCTGAAAGTGCTGGATCTGCAATTATTCCAGTGATTTTTGATGGATCTGGCTATCGATCCTGGAGACGAGGTGTTCTTCGAGCACTATCTGTCAAAAACAAAACAGGTTTCATCAATGGCAAGGTTGATAAGCCGTCTCCAAATTCAGCACTCCTCACTCAATGGGAGAGATGTGCCGATATGGTCACTTCATGGATTCTAAACTCACTTTCAAAGGACATTGGGGATAGTCTTCAATATGTTAATAATGCTAGGGAACTCTGGGTGGAACTAGAGGATAGGTATGATCAGCCTAATGGTGCAAAATTGTATCAACTCCAACGTGAGATCAATGATCTTAGCCAAGGCAACCTCGATGTCACTGGATATTACACTCAACTCAAGAGGCTATGGGAGAAACTGAGCACTTTGGATACAAGTTGTCAGTGTACCTGTTTATGCATTTGTGGAGGAAAGGTGAAAATGCACAAGGCTGAACAAGACAGGAGGCTTATTCAGTTCCTCATGGGGTTAAATGAGGCTTTCACAATAGTGAGAGGAAGTATCCTGATGATGAATCCACTGCCTACTATGGCTCAGGCATTTTCTATTCTTGTCCAGGAAGAGAGGCAAAGAGAAGTCAAACCCTACAACAAATTCAACATGGAATCAACATCCCTTCATGTCAATGCTGCTAGCACTAGCACCAATTTCAGGACAAACTATGTCTCATCATATAAGAATGATGGAGGCAACAGACCTCCAAATAGATCCAACCTATTTTGTGACTATTGCAGAAAGCCTGGACACACTAGGAACAAGTGCTACAAACTTCATGGATTTCCCCCGGATTTCAAGTTTACCAAAGGGAAGAATGCAGGCACAACAGCTATTGCTCGTGGTTACCCTGAAGACACAATGAACAAAGAAAAAGGTCCTGTTGAGAGTGCTCAAGGATCTGTTTATAAGAGGCAAGGCCAACTTCTTACAAGGCAGCAGTTTGATCAGTTGATGCACCTTCTCCAACATGTTCAAATTCAAGAAGACAGTAATACTACAACAGGGATTGTGAATGACAACACAGGTGGAGCTGTGAACTTTGCAGGTATTCTAGCATGTTGTTCTTCAATTTCTGATATTGGTAATCTGTCATGTAAGTGTTTCAAACTATCTGTTGACTTTTGGATTATAGACTCAGGGGCCACACACCACATGACCTTCAACAAATCCTTACTTACAAATATAAGACACTTACCTTACCCATTCCTAATTACTCTACCTAATGGTTACAAGGTAAAGGTGACTGAGATTGGTGATGTATGCTTGAATCCATCACTGACTTTGTGGAAAGTATTGTTTGTGCCTAGTTTCAAGTTTAATTTAATATCAGTCCATTGTCTAGCTTCACATCTCAAAGGTGTTGTTAGTTTCAATAAATTTTCTTGTTTGATGCAGGGCCCTTCACTGAAGAGCCCTCTGGAGATTGGTAGAGCAAGGAATGGACTGTATTTCCTATACTCAAAATGCCACATTTCTTGTCCTGATCACACTTCTACTACTCTAAGAAATGCTACATCCATGCCTTCTTCTTCTTCTAGTTTAACTAGTCTTTCTGTTCATCCAATTTCTTCTTGTAAGAGTTCATGTAATCTTATGAATTTCAGTTCTGATGTAAGCACCTCACATGCACACACCAACACACCTGTAAGATCCATATGTTGTTCAAATTATAAAATTGTTTCTCATGTTCCTACTGCTGCATCTTATGCTTCTACTGGCAACAATCATTTCATAACATGCATATCTTATGGAAATAGTGTTGACCACTTATGGCATAATAGATTGGGACATGTGCCTTTTATAAAAATGAAGAGGATTTCCTCCATCCCAATAACTTTTTCGTCTAAACAACCCTTCATGTGTACTGTTTGTCCAATGGCCAGACAGACTAGACTCTCATTCCCAACAAAAACCATTGTCTCCAGCTCCAAACCTTTTGATCTCCTTCACATGGACTTATGGGGACCCTATCATGTTTCAACCCATGACAATTACAAATATTTTTTTACCATAGTTGATGACTTTAGCAGATCAACATGGACTCACCTTTTAAGTTGCAAAACTAACACACTTAGGGGTCGTTTGGTAGAGTGTATTAGGAAAAATAACGCATGCATTAGCACTGTGTATTACTAGTACCTTGTTTGGTACTCTTTTCCAACCTATGTATAACTAATGCTTGCATTTTTTATACACTCTATTGTGTATTAAAGTGTGTATTGCTAATACCATGGATTTCTAGGTATTAGCAATACAATGGTTTTAATGCATGCATTAGATTAACTAATGACAAAACTACCCTCTATTATTATTAATAATAATAATTATTATTATTATTTTTGTAAAAGAATGTGGGGGTATTTTTGTAAACAAATATTTTTTTAATAGTCTTTATACAAGGCTTGCTATTTCCAATACATCAAACCAAACAATGTATAAGAAATAATGCAAGCATAACTAATGCAAGCATTACTAATGCTTGCATTACTAATGCATGCATTACTAATACATCATATTCAGCATTATTCTTATACACTCTACCAAACGACCCCTTAATGTCATGAGCTCTTTTGTAACTCTTGTGGAAAACCAATTTAACACCACTGTCAAGTCAATTAGGACTGACAATGGGACAAAATTCACCAATAATGAGACAAATAAATACCTCCAAAACAAAGGAATAATACATCGAAAATCCTGCCCATACACACCACAACAAAATGGTGTGGTTGAAAGAAAACATAAACATCTCTTTGAAGTTGCCAGAGCCCTTTTATATTAGTCCAAACTTCCCACCAAGTATTGGGGAGAGTGTATTCTGACAGCAACCTACTTGATCAATAGACTCCCAAACTCAGTTCTTCATAATAAAACCCCCTTTGAGACATTATACAACACACACCCCACCTATTCTCATCTCAAATCCTTTGGATGCTTATGCTTTCCTACCCTAAAGACTCATAAAGCAAAATTTGACCCCAGATCCACACCTCACATCTTCATTGGATACCCTTTCAACAAAAAAGGTTACAAAGTCCTTGATATATGCACTAAGAAGATGCATGTTTCCAGGGATGTGGTTTTTTATGAAAATGTCTTTCCTTTTGCATCTTGTGATTCTGAGTCTCCTGAGTCTGATACAAGTTTTTCCACTATATTAAAGAAATTCACCTCTGCTTCAAATGCATTGAGCTCAACTAATAATTATAATAATATTTTTGACAATAGTGATGTTTTGGATGATAGCACCACCTCAAATGTCATCTTACCTGAACCTGCCTCACCACCTGCACCTGTCTCACCACCTGAAACACTACCAACTGATCAACCATCAAATGAACAATTATCAAGAACTCTCATTTTGCCAAAAACCACCACTCATCAAAACCAATTATCAAACACCAGAAAATCCAGCAGACCACATGTTGTTCCTGCTTATTTGAAAGAATATGACTACTCCCTACCTTCCTCAACACACCACTCTTCCCCTACAAATCATTATTCACTCACAAGTTTCAACTAAGATAGTCAACAGCTGGTTAGAAATGTTTTTCATGACATGGAACCAGTTTCATATGAAGATGCAGTGTCTGACCCTGCTTGGCAAGCAGCAATGACATTTGAATTTGAAGCCCTGTATGCCAATCACACTTGGGACTTAGTTAAACTTCCTGTGGGGAAGAAAGCAATAAGTTGTAGGTGGGTTTATAAAATCAAGCATAAAGTTGATGGGACAATAGAGCGATATAAGGCCAGATTGGTTGTGAAGGGATATACTCAACAGGCTGGTATTGACTATAATGAAACCTTCTCACTAGTGGTCAAAATGACCACTGTTAGGACACTGATCAGCTTAGCGGTAAAGAAAAGGTGGGCTATGTATCAGTTGGATGTAAATAATGCATTCCTTCATGGAGACTTATATGAGGAAGTGTACATGGACATACCTCCAGGTCTCATGGTGCAAGACACATGCTTGGTTTGTAAACTCAAAAAGTCTTTGTATGGTTTAAAACAAGCAAGTAGACAATGGTACGATAAGTTGGCTCAAGTATTGTGCTCAAGAGGCTATTCTCATTCAGACAGTGACTACTCTTTATTTTACAGAAAGATTGGTTCTTCTCTGGTTTTCGTTGTTGTTTATGTAGATGATGTGATCTTGACAGGCACTGATGAGCATGAAATCACTTCCTTGAAGGCATTCCTTTACGATGAATTCAAGATAAAGGACCTGGGAAGACTTCAGTACTTCCTAGGATTGGAGATACTTTACAAAGATACATGAGTTTTAATTTCTCAAAGAAAATTCACCACAGATTTGTTGCAGGAGTTTGATTGTTCAGACTGTAAACCAGCTATGTCCCCCCTAGAATCCACAGTCAAGCTCAAGGCTAATGAGGGTGCTCTACTGAAAGACCCTACACATTACAGAAAGCTGGTAGGTAAGCTGAATTTTTTAACCAATACAAGGATATATATCGCCTTCAGTGTCCAACATCTTAGTCAATTTCTCCAATCTCCTAAAGAACCACACCTCAAAGCTGCATATCATGTGTTGAGATACCTTAAGGCTGATCCTTGCCTGGGAATTTTCCTATCTAACAGTACAGATTGTAGCGTTACTGCATATTGCGATTCAGACTGGGCTTCGTGTCCTGATTCTAGAAAGTCAGTTAGTGGTTACATTGTCTTGATGGGTGATAGTCCCATCAGTTGGAAGTCCAAGAAATAAACAACCATCTCATTGTCCTCAGCAGAAGCAGAGTACATGGCTGTTAGAAAGGTAGTGGGAGAACTGGTGTGGCTGGAGAGACTGTTGACTGAATTACACTAACCATGTAACTTGCTTGTGTCTGTTTTCTGTGATAGTCAGGCAGTTGTTCATATAGCAAGAAACCCTGTGTTCCATGAGAGGACAAAACATATAGAGGTGGATTGCCATTTTGTCAGAGAAAAGCTACAAGAAGGCCTCATTGTACTTCACCACATACCAACTGGAGATCAACTAGCTGATGTTCTGACAAAACCTTTACCTAGTGCTCAACACTCTATTTTACTGCACAAGCTGGCTGTGAGTTACTCACCTCCAACTTGAGGAGGGGTATTAAGATATATGGTTTAGTTTTATACTTTGTTTTATGTATAAGCAGGAAAGTAATTACAATAGCTGAGCTGTCAAAGTTAGTTAGTAGGATATGCTGAGCTGTCAGAGTTAGTTAAGTGTTGTCAGAGTTAGTTAGAAGTGTATCAACTGAACATTCTAGAAGTTGATTTCAAGCATCTAATTAGTTAGTGTTAGATATTTTTTCTCATCATGTATATAATGTTGAACAGTTAGCATGAATGAATTAATTTTCATTTCCCCAAATTACAGATTATATATTCCTCTCTGTTCTTATCCTTTAGTTTCAGTTTTTGCTCAAGTATTCATCAATGGGGAACTGTGATTCTCCTCAGTTCAACAGTCAAAGGAAAACATTTTTTTTTTACTCTTCAACTATATAGCATGATTAAATTTCTCTCCTTTGAACGGACCTTTATTTAGCATAGAAAAAAGATCAAGGATATATATGATAGGAGTGTGTTGTCATTGCCACAAGAAAAAAGAAGTAACGTATACTACAAGTGGATGTAATGGGTAATAGTCAGAGTCGCTTTTAGTAGGGTCTTAAATTTAATTATCGTCGCTAATGATAGGTTTGTATTAAAAGCAATCACAATATATCTTAGTTTTTAAATTTTGAATTTAATATCTCTAGATAAAAAAAATATTTTATCCTTAAAGAGAGATTTTCTCATATAAATCCAAATAAATCAAACTTCAAACAATATCGTAAACTATTAACCCAAAAAAATGGATATTAGTGGGATAGGGGAGGAGGAGGTTTCTTAAGGATTTTGACAAATTTAAGGATCCATTTGGCCATAAAAGTTAGAATTTGTGGCTGAAATAATGTGCCTCTACGATTGTATGAGAAGCCTATTTTTGAAGAGTGGTGCTAAGGTTATCCAAAACATTTTTGTATGCCCAATTCTATTGATGTAATAAGAACAAACTCATACCAATTGCCAACTATTATTTAAGTTAGGGAAAAATGTTTGAAATATATATGAACTTTAACCAAAATTGTTGTAACAATCTCAAATTTTGGGCAGGACCTATTACCCTCTACACTATTTAATAATGTATTTTAAAGATATATAAGTGTCCAGCTGAACAAGTTAATATTTATAATGATGCAATATTTATGATGTTCACGTGGGCACCTATATATACACTATTAATTAGTGCAGGTGATAATAGGTCCTGCCTAAAGTTTGGGATTGTTATAGTAATTTCGATCAAAATTTGAATATATTTCGAACCCTTTTCTTAAATTACTAGTCGTTGAAAATATCTAATGGATCGGGTTCATTCATAAGGGATATTAATTGGGATTTTAGACCATTAACTTGTCCTTCTTTTTGGTGTACAAATTCATCATTATGGATGTATATAAGATAATAGATGATTTTCTACATTAATTAACAATTTATATATATATATATATATATATATATATATATAATAAAGCTTTGCATGGTCTCCTAAATGATATCTAGACCTAAATATATAATATCTAGGCGGTAAACAAAGGAAATTCATATACTTTGTAAAGATCATTCCCAACGATCAATGACATAAGTCTCAGTTACTACAGATCCACCTCCGTTAGGGAAAAACTCATAAATCTCCTAACTAATATTTACCGATTTGAATGCTATTCTAGTATTTGGGTATATATGCAATCAATGAACAATTTTTTTTAACAACCACATAAATAATATAGAAAACATATGTTTAAGTCATACTCGATATGTTCTTCTTGCCACTTTTTGAACCACCTGTGTTTTCTTTTACCCCATACATTTCTCACTTAGAAAGTAGCATTATAGGTAAATTTACTTTAAAGTTTGATGAACTTGTAATTAAATGAAAGATAATATATTTAAGTGAAATTATTTGCGCTCTGCATGGGCTATAAAAATAATTAATAAATTTTATTTGTTAAATGTATGGTTTCTGATTTCCATAAAATACTGTATGTATACTATTTATATTCAGATTAACGTAGGATATATAAAACAATATTGATATTTGCAAAGGAGTGAATCAAAGCAAGCATAAGTGGCGTAGTAGTGGAGTGGAATCTAAATCCTCTTTTACCCATAAAGGAGTCCAAATTAAAAATTAAAGTAAATACAAGATCTCCCACCATAATAAATAAAAAATAAAATAAATGGTGGACATGAAAGGAGAAAAAATAAACATTCGGAATAATATATTTTTTCGAGATACAGAAAGGTGAATATTCGAATCTTAAAAAGGGAAAAAGACGAAAAAGGAAGCAAAAAAGGCACCTTTTTAGCGGATAAGCATAGGCAGAGCTAAGTGAAAGTTCGTGTGTTCGAACAAACTCAATAGCTTTTTTATAAATAAAATATTTATATTAAAAAATTAAATAAACATATATGTATATTAACCTGTAACTCCCACAAAATTGATTGATGACTAAGTGAAAAAAAGTGGCCATAAAAATACATTCCAGTTTCCATACTAATATTACGAATTCGAATCCATTATCAACAAAAGTTTCTCTATTTTCCTTTCTGAGTTTTTGTCGCGTGAATGTACGGACAGGGAATCGGCCGTGGCGAATTGGACTCGTATTATTAACGATCTAAAATGAAAGAGCATATTCCTTCGAATGTTCTCTTTTTTTTCTTATTTATATATATGTTGTGGACTACATAATTGCCCTTTTTATTTTATAATATAATAATGGAGTAGTAAAATATTATTATTACTTTACTACTTAATATAAAATGAAGAATCGTGCAGCTCTGCTTTTGGTTTATATGTAACTGTTGCCGTTCAGTGGGTCCTAGTTGTTGACTTGTTATTTTCATAAAAAAGAAGGCTCAATCCATCGATCACCAACTTTTTACTTAAAACATTTTAATTGAGCTTTGTTCATTTTAGACATCTTATGATATATCCCACTATATTATTTTGACATGTTTTAACAATTAACAAAAGTTAAAAAATGTGTGTTATCTACTCGCGGATGACATGACTTGATGACAAATTAAGAGAAGACATGTGTCAATTTGATTAAAAAAATAAAATTTAATTATAAGAAGAAGAAAGAAAAATCATTTAAACTTATATTTTAAAAATATTTCAATAAGAAAAGACTTCATTTTCTAAGAAATCATTTCAATGACTCATATCTAAAAGAAGATCGCGGGAAATTGGAGTTTCGCCGAAAAAATTGAGGAGATTTAGATTCAATTTTTTTTTCAATGACGTCTCATATTTTCTTTTATAACTAATAATTCTAATTCTAAATAAAATATGTTTTGGCGGAAGAGAGGGAGAGAGAGAGAAAGATAGTAACAAAAATGGTGGATCTCCATCTTTTCCGGTGAGATAGTGATGTTATTTTTTAGATTTGATTTTTCTTTTAAGAAATAGCTTTT